TATTTAAATAGGAATGCTGATAAGTCTATGGGTATGTTTGTATTTTCATTTATGACCTGAATTTCAAGATTATTGTGTACCTTGCAACATGACTGTAAAGTTTTTTTGGTTTTTTTTTTTCCTCTAGGAAATTCTTCTTCTGGGTATTCTGAAAATTGTTGAAAGTGATATTACTATGAGCCCTTCACAATATCTAACTTTCCCTTTACTGCATACTCCAAATTTAAGCAATGGCATTTCATCACAAAAGTGTCCTGCGATTCTCAACAGTAAAGCCATGGGATTATTGAAAAGAGCACGAGTTTCACGGAGCAAGAAAGAGGATGACAGTGACAGTTTTCCCCAGCAGTTGCTTTCCTCTTGGCACGTAGCCCCAGTCCACTTACCATTGCTGGGACAAAACTGCTGGCCACACCTGTCCGAAGGGTTCAGTGCTTCCCTGTGGTTTAATGTGGAGTGTGTCCATGATGCTGAGAGTAGCACAGAGAAACGAAAGAAGATCAAGAAAAGAAACAAAGCATTAATCTTACGGGATAGTAGTTTTGATGGAACAGGTATGATGACAGCGTTAGCTGGTACACTCAGCTTTTTCCGATGGCAGTTTGGTTGACCAGTAGGAATATAGTGATGTTATAACTTACTCTTAGTATGTTCACCTTAAATGCCTTAGTAATGGCAGGTCCTGACTTCCCAAAGCCTGAGTTGTCAGATAGCCTTGAATACTCCATTTTCTTCTGTACTTTTGCTGGGGTTGGGGGGTGGGGGAGACACCACATATACAACTGCTTTGGGGTCCACCAGCCCCATTTCCTGCCTCTTTCCTGGTCCCAGTACTGGATGAGGGTGGCTCCTGATGTCAGGAAAGGAAAGGGTGTAAACCTTGTAGCCACTTTTCCATCCCGCGGTTTCCCGGCCTCTTCTGGTCAGCTCCTTGTCATCTCCCTTCTCTTTTAGTTCAAGCTCTCCTTCTCAAGCTGGATCTTACCTCAGCGTTCCTCTCGTAGTTCCTGTCACAGAATGTTCAAATGTGTCAACCATTCTCCACAGGCTAAATAAGCTTGATTCCAGGCCTTTGGTTGCTATTGTGCTGCGTTGAAATGGCCTCTTGTCCCCCATGTGACCAGGGCAGCAAGAACCTGTTTGTTAAAAACCGGTTCTCGGTGCTGGAAGTAAAGCAGGCAGGCTAATGGTTAGGGTCTGTAGAAGGAATGAGATGACTAGATGACACAGATGTCTAGGGGTTGTGCATGTGCGGAGGTGCTGGCCCCAATAGCTCTTCACTGTACAGAGCTCACCCACCCCACTGGAGCTAGCAGGACACCACTGGTCTCCAGGGAAGCCCCCTACCACTGACCTATGGATGAAAGGAAAGCCCATCATGACACTGCCAACGCTGAACGGTGGTCAGTGTCGCCTGGTATTCACAGTCAGAGCTCTGAATCCACTTTCCACAGACACATTTCCAGGTTATTAGCATAGCATACTCATGTACTTTTATGGGGTAGCCTAGAAAGCCAATTAAAATTTTTAAATCTTAGCAGATACTTTGTAATGTTTCACGTAGTTATAGCATCTTTTGGTGAATTGAATGTTGCCACTTAAGAAATTGGTAGCTTTGAAACAACATGTATGTGATGTTATTGATGATGACACTGTGATGTACATTGAGTGCTTCTGTGTGCTCGTCACTTTGCTCAGCTCTCTCTGTACACCTTTATCTTCATAACAGTTCAGTTAGGTGAGTAACGTCCATATTTGCAGTTGGAGTTCAGCACATGACCGATTTATCAAGCTGGTAAGTGATGGAAAGGGATTTCCACCCACCTGTCACTACTGCCCTATTAACGGTTGCTTTCCCATATTTTAAGGGGAGCAATCACAGGGTAAACCGTCTCTTACAAAATGAGTAAATATACACAATGACCTGAGGCCTTGAGAAAAATTTTTTAAAAATCTTATTGTAAAAATGTATTTGAAAACATATTTTAGAAAGATGATTTTGCATAAGCATTTTAAAGAATATTTTTAAAGTTTTTACATGTAAAAATGTTGATGAGAGATGGAGGAAATATTAATTACAGTGATAATACATCCTTTGCCACTAAACCAGCTGTGTACCATTGAGGAAATTATTTAACCCGTCAGCACCTTAATTCAGTCACCCTCAAAATGGAGATGATATTTACCTCATAAGATTGTTGTGAGCATTACATAAGAAATATTTGTAATATTTCTCCTCTACAGTTCCCGGGTACACATTGGTTTTTGTTCTGGCCTTTTATTTATGAAAGTTCAGATTTGATGTGGAAACTTTTGAAAACATCGCAAGAGATGTGAGTTCTGATAGAGGGAGTATTCATTGCCTGTTGAAAAATGGCAACAAATATATATGCAGTCTAATCACTGGTGTGTTCATCTTCTCTGAAGTCTGAGCGTTTGGACATGAATTTCATATTTGGGTCCATCTTAATTCACATCCTTGACAGTAAAGCCATGCATCATGGTACTAGGCAGCATGGACGGCTGAAGGATTCAGCTCATCAGACATGTTCAGGCAGCTTTAGGTTTTAGGTGGTGAGAAAGAGAAGTCAGGATGAATGATCAGAAAGCCCAAAGCATGGACCATATACCTGAGCTTGTCTTAGAGAAACATTTTAGTGTTTCGGAAACTTAGCACTTAAATTCTAAGATCACTCATCAGGGAATCTAAAAAGGGAATATATTCAAACACTATGATATTTCTAAAAGGAATTTCAATTTGATCAATTTTTAAAAAAACAATCATGCTATTGTAATAATTCTACGATGATTTTTGTTAGTTCAAAGCCTGTGGCGATGGTGGATGCTCCTTGGGCTGGGGTCCATGATGTCACAGTGGCCCTATTCAATCGATAAAAGAAACGTGGCACAGATTGTAATAGGTCATAGCAGTGTCATCATGGTAATCTGTTTACTTCTGCCATTAGCTCTCAGTTATCATATATTTTACAACATTTAATAACTTTTAATGCATTCAATTATTATTTTCACTCCCGGTGCTCTTTTGGAGTTAACATCCAAACTTTGGAAATATTCTTGTTTGGAACAGGCCAGGTTCAGACATTCTGGGTAAATAATTTACTTCATTGAAATGAACAACCATGCTTTGTATTCTTTTAGATTTGCTTTTCCACTCAGTTTTTACCAACTGCTTTACTGATCATTCCTAACATCTTTTTATCACAGAGAATGGCAGGCCAGAAGGTGCAGAGGATGTAAATCCTGGTGAGAGACTCCTAGAAGAAGGCTGTATTCACATGATCTCATTGGGATCCAAAGCGTTGATGATTCAAGTGTGGGCTGATCCCCACACTGGCACTTTCATCTTTCGGTATTATCCTCAACTCCCAAGAGTAGATATGTATTTAAATAGTTTATGTAAGAGACATTAATGTGAAATCTGCTATTATAATAAAGATCATTACAGCAAAACAGAAAAATCTTATTAAAAAAGGAGATACATTCTAACAGTTATTAACCACCTTTGTAACAACATATTATTCCATCCAAAAATCTGTAATTAAACTCTAAAGTAGATAATGTTAACTCTCAATTAGATTTTAGGCCAAATACTTACTGAAGTCTTATCTATGGAAATATTCTATCAGGTTGCAGTGATCTGAAGATGTTGTTATTATCCGATATCTGTTTTCCATACAGATTATATATTTAATAGCCATTATCTGATGAGCTCAAGTTCCCCTTGCTATCTTGTCCTTTTTTCCTACCTCCTTTTGAAACAGGTATAGATACAAGTCTCTTATTTGTATTAAGTGAATATGAATAGTATGAGACTATTTTCATAAAATTTAAAACTAAACAAACAATATAGTATTTACGGATATATGCTTTGTAAATGTTATAAAGGTTACTGGGTACTTTATATACATTATATCCTATTCTGTCAGTAACCCCTCAAATTATGTTAGATTTCTAACACATCCTGGCATTTAGACATTTATGTGCAATATGTATTAATTTAAAAATTTTTTTCAATTACAGTTGACATACAATATTATGTTAGTTTCAGATATACAACATAGTGATCAGACCTTTATATAACTTACAAAGTGATCACCCCAATTAGTCTAGTACCCATCTGATACCATACACAGTTATTACAATATTATTAACTATATTCCCTATGCTGTACTTACATCTCCATGACTGTTTTTATAACTGGCCATTTGTACTTCTTAATCCCTTCACCTTTTTCACGGGGCCCCCCAACCCCCTTCCCACCAGGCAACCATCAAAATGTCCTCTGTAGCTATGAGTCTGTTTCTGTTTTGTTTAATCATTTATTTATTTTTTCTAGATTCCACATATATGTGAAATCATGTATTAATTTTTGTATAAACCAAATATTACATTGTAATTTTTAAAATGCAATGACTATATAAATAGTAATGATAAAATATTTTTTTACACAATGAATTCTGAAAATTATTGCCTAAAATTTTAACACTAGCAAATGAGCCTAATCTGTTTTAGTTCATGAATTGAGGTAATAATATAATAAAATAAGCAGATTATGGTATAAAACAAAGACCTTCTGACTTTTCAAGGTAGTTTAAAAATAGAACTTATCTTTAATCTCACTTAAATATCTACAGTTACACTTGTTACACGTGTGTTAAATACTGAGATCAGAAATTTCATGTTTTCAGCCTACACCTTTCCTCTCTTTGTGTAGTGTGTGCGTGGATTCAAATGATGATACGAAAGCTGTTTTACTAGCACAGGCTGAATCACAAGAGAATGTGTTCCTCCCAAGCAAATGGCAACATTTAGTCCTCACCTACTTACAGCAGCCCCAGGGGAAAAAGACTATCCGTGGGAGAATCTCCATATGGGTCTCCGGACAGAGGTACTAAACATTTTTAGTAAATACTTGTTAACCTCAGTTACAGTTTTAAGTTTAATTAGTCTGTTATAGCTTCTGAAACAGATTACAAAACACCACAGATAAAATTACTATATATTAACATAGAAACCTATGTCAGAGTTGGATATTTTCCTATTTGTGACTTCCACACAAAATTGATTTCCCACAGAAGTAATTGTTAAAAATTAGTATTTGGATTTGGGGAGCGTGCAGAAATCTGGACATTTAGACATTTATATGGAATATATAGTAGATAAAGGAACAGAAACGATAATTTGGTCCTACAAGCCCATATATTATAAAATTAATCCACAAAGAATTATTAGCTAGCTCATAAGACTAATTAAATAAGAATTTCAAAAGAAAGTAGAATGACTAGAGAAAAATATAAGCCAGTATATCAGGTGATAGATTGATAGAGTCCTAAAAACATACCAGGTGATAGATTAAGGTATAGTACTATATGATTTTTACTGACCAGGAGAATTATGGGTCAAGTTAATAACAAACATTTCTAGAATATCTTAATGTAAAATTTAACCCTGAGAGAACTACAAGGTATCTTGGATTTGTAAGGGTTGGGAAGTATTTTATTGAATGAAATTGTGTGAAGGGGGATACGGAACTGGAAACTAGTATAGCCTGGGGAAGGACCAAGCTGGCTGGAAGGAAGACTCTGAGTTGAATTATGAGAAGGAAAAGGGAATGGGCGTGGCAAGGCTTTCTGACGGGAGGCTTTGAAGTCCAAGATGAGGAGTCTCAATTTAATTGAATGGACCATAAAACATCGCATACCTAGAGCATTGCAGACCTTTTGCTAGGTGCTTTATATACACATTATCTCCCAATTCTCTCAAAAATCCCTTGAAGTAGATTATCAGATGTAACATATATACCCTTAGCACAGATTAACCTATTTTCATTCATCCATTTGTTTATCCATCACATACTTATGTGATGGATATTTATTTATGCCAAGCACATGCTATGTTATGCCTGAAGGTAGTGATAAACACGACAGCCATATTCACTGCCTTCTTGAACTCATACTAATGAGGAAGCAGACAACAATGAAATGAATATATGCACATTATGACGAATGCTGTGAAAGTAAACAGGTCCCGGGACAGAAAACATCAGTTCTGCTACTTCAGAGAGATGGATCAGGGAAGGCCTCTCTAGGAACAAAGTAGTCAAGCTGACACCTGAAGGAGGAGATGGGGGCCGCCATGAGGAGGGGAGGACGAGCGTCCAGGCGGTGGAAAGGGCCTGTGGAAACTACCGGAGAGCCAGGAGTTGAAGGCGTAGCTGCGCTGGAGGAAGGGGCTGGGGTGGCTTTAAGGTAGCCAGTCCAGTGTCTGCCACAGGGAAAAACACTTTGGAAATAAAATCAGGGGTTCTGTTTTTGTTTATTCATTAGGAAAACACATGAAAACACGTCATTGAAGCTTTCTTTCCGTATCCCAAATAAAATATTTCCTGAGACGTTCTCAGTCTTTACATCTGCCTAAGCCTGAATGGCAGCTGTAGCCAACCAGTAAATTTGTTTCCAGAACCTTTAGTTAAGTTGGCTAGGGCTGGGATGGGGCTGTGAGTACAGACCCTCTTCCTCCTGGACTCTCCTCTTCATTCCTTGAATTCTTAGCATGTGTCAGATGACCTCGTTTGGTCCTCCCACCGACACTATGAAGTAGGTATATTGTGATCTCTCTTTTACATGTGAGGCAGCTGAGACCCAGAGTGGGGTAAGTAACTTACCCAAAGTCATGCCACAAGTAAGGGGTACAGCTGAACCTGAACCTAGACTCTGCTGCAACCCCTTAATACAGTTCCTCATGTTGTGGTGACCCCCAACCATAAAATTATTTTGGTTGCTACTCTATAACTGTAATTTTGCTACTGTTATGAATTGTAATGTAAATATCTTTTTGTTTTCCGATGGTCTTAGGCGACCCCTGTGAAAGGGTTGTTTGACCCCCAAAGGGATTGTGACCCACAGGTTGAGAACCGCTGCCTTAGAGAGTGCCTATGCGCTAAAACCATAGGCTTTACTGCCCTGACAGCCTGTTTCTGAAGCAGGCCGGCTGATAGGTGCAGGATTCATGAACTATTAGATATGTTTAGAGTCACAGTTGAAATGTTCACTGTGGACAGTTCTGAAGTTAGTGAGCTTAGTGACTTGATTCACATGTCACTCTATTTTTTACCCACCCACTTATTTCTCCATGACTTTGAAGGAATTTTTTGCCACTTGGTACAAGTTAATGATTTCATCTGTTAATAGAACAATGAACAAGTGACCAAGGACAAATACATGATTTTGTTGATTTAAATTATGTGCTATCTTTATTCTTTTCTGAACTAATAGAATAATTTCTACAATAATACATTTTAAGAGGCCACTTTAATAATATATAATGGCACTGAAAAGCAACTTATTAACATATTAATTATCATTTGATGAAAAGAATACAAATCTAGTAGGAATATATGGTACATGGTAAATACTTAATATTTGTTGGAATTCATCTTGCATTGAACTTGCAATATGGTTTCTTTACCCTTAAAAACTATATTGCCATACAGCCACTAGGTGGCAGTAGTGTTTTAGTCCCGGCCATTTATTTGGTTCAAGAAAGAGCCATGTAATGGAAGTTATCTCACTCAAATGTTGTATGTCAATTATATTTCAATTAAAAGAAAAATTATCTAACATGTTTCCCTTATTAAAAAATATTGCTATTAAAATAGTTCAATTTATGTTAAATATGAAGCAGCCTTAGGGGAAAGTTTTTAAATAAATATATTCCAAAGTAGAATTTCTCATTAAGAGCTAACAATGTTAGCTTATTCTAAGTGTTTACCTTATTCACAGACTTTGCCTGTACAAGTTACCTTCATTATGGAGTTTAAAACATTCCTAAAATAGGGGTAGAGCTTGGCACTCTGCAGTTTCAACTAGATGATGACGTTCTCTTGTCATGTGTGTTTCTCTGTGAGAAAGCATTAGTTTTACCTTTTCCTGTAAATATTCCTGTAAAAACAAGAGATTAGCCAAAAGCTCTGCAATGAATTAGCATTGAAAAAACAAAATTCAAAAAAAAAAACATTGAAATTTCAGTCCTAGTCAGAGCAAAACCTGGCGAAATGATATTTTTTTCTCATTAGTCTCTGAAAGCCTTATGGAGGACGAGAGATTTTAGGAATTGTTTACCAAGATGGCAGACATCTTGGTAAAATTAGGGGGAGGTGGTTGGGTTGTAGCTGTAAACCAGGAAGGCACATTTGCAGAAGTCAAATGGCAAAGAAAACCTGCTGCAAATGTGGGGTCACACTTCCCATGGCCTGGTATAGGGTCATCGGGCATCCCTGTTCTGCTCCCCAATTTCTGGGGCTTGTGGACCATCAGCACCCTGGACTGAGACAACAGAATCAATTCTCTTTCTTCCCATCAGCAACTATTTGAAACCGAACCAAGAAAATTGTTTAAGAATTTCCATTATTAAACATTCATTCTTTTTAAATACTTAGTACTGAGTCCTCACTGAAGTAATTGATTTAACTTTGTTTTTAATGTAGGAAACTTGATGTTACTTTGGATTTTATTCCTCCGAGAAAAACAAGTTTGTCATCTGATATCAATAAAACATTTTGCATGATCGGCCATTGTTTATCATCCCAAGAAGAGTTTTTGCAATTGGCTGGAAAATGGGACCTGGGAAATTTACTCCTCTTCAATGGTATATTTTTCCCCTTCAAAGCATTTCCAAATTTTTCTTTCAGTTAACAAATATTAATTAAGTAAATTATCCTGGGTAAAATATTAATCCCTGTTTCTTTACTTGTACTTAATAAATACTGTATTTCCTAGATTCCAAGATGATGTTTAAAATATTTTAACATCTTTATAATCTAGATGTTTCTTACAATTGATAAATACATTTAATGTAGAGGTGTACATCCATCCCTCATCTCCCCCCCAAAAAAGAGGTGCTTATTAAATCAACTTTATTTTGTAATCATGGAAAATGCAGTATTATGACAGGTAAACTTAGAATGGTTGTCTCTTTTATTTATAATTTTAGTATGTTCTATAAAAATACCAAAATTTAGAGAAAAAAAGAAATATATAATTTAAAAATACATCAGTACACCTGGCACATAATAGCATTCAGACAGTAATTATTGAATAGATAGATGGATGGATGGAAGGAATAAAGATATCAATTCACATTTCATGTTAAAAAGGAATTTACTGAGGTATAGTTTCCATTTATTAAAAAAAAAAGCTTTTCTGGCTTAAGGAGCAAATAGAAATTTAATGATTTTATTTTATCAAGAGCTTCACAGTAAACTTTATATATATTAATTCACCTTCCATACACAGTTGGCAGGTTATTTGCTCATTACACCAATTTGGAAACTGAGGCTTTATCAATTTTATAAGATACAGTGAACACAAAAAGAATCTGGCATAAAGAAATTCTTGGTTTCTTGCTTTTTGTGGAAAATTCTGGGATGCTTTAAATAAATACTTTTATTTTTCTGCTATCCAGGAGCTAAGATTGGTTCACAGGAGGCCTTCTGTCTATATGCTTGTGGACCCAACTATACATCTATAATGCCATGTAAATATGGCAAGCCTATGACTGACTACTCCAAATATATTAATAAAGAAATCCTGCAATGTGAACAAATCAGAGAACTTTTTATGACCAAGAAAGATGTGGATGTTGGTCTCTTAATTGTAAGTTTTCATTTTATGAGTTTTAACTTTATAGTAACTTTACATATGTATGCTTATTCAGTGTATAATTAGCTATAAATTAGGTTTCTAATGTTTGTGGTTTTTGTTTCTCAGCATTTTTCCCCTTAGAATATAGTTTTTTTCTAGAAAAAAATTGAAGTACTTTTACTTCCTCAGAATTTGTTTTCAAGTTTCAAATTTGTGTCTCTATTTCCTTGAAACCATATTTCTTTACTAAGTATTAGTTTCATTTAGTTTATACCTATTAATCATTTAAGACAAATGTTTATGATATAGTGAAAACATAACACATTAGCCTAAAATATATTGTTCATTGTATTTTCTTTCCATACTTAATAAATGTGAATTTTTATTTATAATATTAGTTTTACTTACATATATTCAGATTTTAGAATATTTATTCTTTAATATCAGTAACAACAGGAATTTTTTTGCTTTTAAAATATTGTTAATTCTGTTTCTGTGAGACTCAGATTGCTTTTTTTTTTAGCTGAGCCATCCTGACACCTGTTGGCAGCTCAGTGGCAACTCAGCTCAGGCCGGGCATCAAACTGCTGTTGCTCAGAGCTCGCACTCTTGCGCGAGCTCTTAAACAACCTTGCCACTTGGCCGGCCCTTCATATTGCTTTTTATATATTATTCTAATATTTTGTTCTACTAATGTACAGTTTAGGGACTTGTGAAGGACATTTTTCATTACAGCAGCTAGAAAACTGAGCCTTCATAGTCTTAGAAGATCTACTAAAAACTGGTAGATCTGGCCATGAAACTGTTCCTCCTCCTCTTATGAGAGGTATAATTATAAGTCAGAGAGATTTCTTACTGAAGGAGAATACTGTTTTGGAATGTGTTTTGTTGTTGTTAATGAGGTGTACATTTTACAATCAAAATAAATTATATTTTAAAGCTGTAACCAAAGTAAAGAAGAAATTCTAGTATAGATACTTATCTAGTATAGATAATACATAAATAAGTCATAAGTGGTATTAAATATATATATATATATATATATATAGTAAAATAGATGTAGAGTAGATATCGATAGAATTCTAAAGATATGATAAGAGGCATACATTTTTTATCCTCCCTAAGGAGTAGTTAAAAGTGGGGGTTTGGGATTTTAGCTGCCCACTACTACTGAGTGAGGGCCATGGGCACTAAATGTTCTGCATAGGCAGCGTCATACAACAAAGAATGGTCCCACTATTGAGAAAATAGGCTTTAGAGGGCTGGCCGAGTGGCTCAATTGGTTAAGAGCTCGCTGAAGAGTGCGAGCTCTGAGCAACAGGGTCGCCGGTTCAATTCCAGGCCTGAGCTGAGCTGCTGCTGAGCTGCCAACAGGTGGCAGGATGGCTCAGCTAAAAAAAAAAAATAGAGAAAATAGGCTTTAGAGAAACGGTTCTCAAACCCGAATGTGCATCCGTCACCCAGAGGACTTCAGAAATGGATTGCTGGGCCGGAGTTTCAGATTCAGTAGGTCTGAAGTGTGCCCACGAATTTGCCTTTTTAACAATTTCCCAGGTGATGCCAATACTGCTAGTTGGGGATCACACATTGAGAATCTCTGCTTTGGGGAGACCAAGGAGCTCACACAAGTGTTGTTTAAATAATAATTTTAACTCTCTAGTTTTTTGGTTAATCCATTTGTTTTCACACACCAAAAAAAATGTCCCTAATCTTTTTATTTGGCCTGAAAAAAATATATGTTATATAAGTTATAAAATTCAACATAAATTATTCCCAATTAAAATTCTATGGGCTTTATGTGAAAATTCTGTTTAGAAAGCAAGTTTTTTTTGCCTGATTTAGTAATTCGGAGCTATGAGGTCATGAGTGGGCAGTCAGGCTGAGGTAGTGCCCTTGTTGTTGTTCCAGGTAGATGGGCATTTTGTCAGGTTTCTGATGAAAACTACAGAGGTTTAAAAGTTTGTTTTACCAGCATAATCATTTACAACAGACATCGTAGTCAGTTTACTTGGTATGCAGATCTGCCTGATGGTGTCTGAGGAAACTGTCCTCAAATCACAGTGGGTTGAAAATGACCAAAGACCAAGGTCCCACCATCTTCTGTGAGAAGATACTGAAAGTTCAGCATCTGATTTCCTGCAGCGGCTGCCACTAGGAGCACCTCAAAGTGCATTCCACATTTTAAATGTACCATAATTTTCAAGTACAGTCATCTACTCTTATCCATGGTTTCATTTTCCGCAGTTCAGTTACCCATGGTCAGTTTTGGTCAGTCCAAAAATATTAAATGGAAAATTCCACAGATAAACAATTTATAAGTTTTAAATTGTGCAGCATTCTGAGTAGTTTGATGAAACCCCACGCAGTTTTATTCCATCCCGCCTGGGCTGTGAATCATCCCTGTGTCCAGTGTCTCCATGCCCCGACGCTCCCCAGCATTAGTCACTCAGTAGCCACCTAGGTGATCAGATCTACCTTTGCGATATCGCAGTGCTTGTGTTCAGTCACCCTGATTTTACTTAATAATGGCCCCAAAGCCATTCGCATAACTTTCATTACAGTATGTTGTTACAATTGTTACAAATATTTTATTTGTTGTTAATTAAACTTTATCATAGGTATGTATGTATAGGGCAAAACAGTATATACAGATTTTGGAACAATCCTTGGTTTCAGGCATCCTTGGGGTCTTGGAATGTGTACCCCGCAGATATGGAGGGACGACTGTAGTTATTAGAAGCTTGACAAGGAGGCAGAAGCTGATCGAAACTACCCTCTGCATGGGAGAAATATTGAAAGTTCTTTTGATTTTACTTAGGTGTGCTGATAGTCTTGGAACTTTTTTTTTTTTTTAAGATTTTTATTGGGGAATTGGGGGAAGGGGAACAGACAAGTTGCTGTCGTTTTGTTCTTCAGTCTAGTCGTGGAGGATGTTGCTTCACTGGCCCAAGTCGGCACCATCATTGCGCTCTTCCCGGGCAAGGAAGATCAGTCGCCGGCTTCTGGACGGCCACTCACAGCGGCTGCTGGCTACACACGGTAGCCCATGGCAACCCACTGTAGCAGGGGCTGCAGCCTACGCCATCACCAATGACTCACGGGCAGCCGGCTCCAGGTTGAGCTGTTGTTCAGCATCTTAGCTGTGGAGGGCAGTGTCACTGGCCCTCATATGTGGGATCCAAACCGGGGCCCTCTGGCGTCCCAAGCCAGCTCTCAATCAGTGCACTACTCAGCCGGCCCCTTGGAGTTTTCTTAATAGAAAAAAAAAAGACCTGGTTTAGAGTCACTTTAAATGAGTAGCCAGCCCATGAACAAATTCAAAGCCAAAATTTTGAATACATTGATCAAGAGTTCCTGTGTCATAGGGTTGTAAAGACTGTTTAATATTTATGTGCATAGAACAAATGCCTGGTATGTCACGGGTGTGGTATAAGAGTTAGCTGTTGTTAGTAGTAAGAGTAAGTATAATTTGTGTTTATTCTCAAGTGATCAAAGCTGGAGGCTGTCAGCCTTAACCTGGTTTATACTGTTGATCACTGCTGAATGAAACCGATCTTTTCCTTTTGGGGAGCCACCTTGCTTCTCATATTTATCTTGTTTAATGTAGTGTCTGTCCTTTTTAAAACAAAGAAAAAGATCTGTTGGGTATATTTTTACTTTGGAATATTTCTTTTGAAGCGTGTTTAGTTACTGAAGGAAAATATTTGTGTTTCAGGAAAGTCTTTCGGTCGTTTATACAGTGTCCTGTCCTGCTCAGTACACCATCTATGAGCCAGTTATTAGACTAAAAGGCCAAGTGAAAACCCAACTCTCTCAAAGACCCTTCAGCTCCAAGGAAGTTCAGAGCACTGTATTGGAACCTCATCATCTAAAGAACCTCCGACCTGCTGAATGTAAAACGATTCAAGGCATTCTGCACGAGATTGGGGGGACTGGGATATTTGTTTTTCTTTTTGCCAGGGTAAGAATCATGGGTTATAGTTTTATCTAAAGAGAAATGTTTTTATTATTGATAAATTTTAGGGTTTCTTTTTTATTATAAAACAAAGCTGTATACATCAACTATATTAAACTTTTAAGATGAAAAAAAATCATCTATTGTTTAGGGTGTCATCAAGCTTTCTGCCACAGATGGTTATAGTTTCTTTTCATTTGTGAAGATTTTAGAAGTTTTCTATTATCCAGTCATGGAATTAGAACAATTGAATGTTAAATTATAAGATTAAAATTGCCGGAGGAAAAAAAATGCATGCTGTAGTGATAATATGGGAGAAATGTATTATTTAAAATGAGGTTTGTGAAACTTGTGTTTCCCTTGAAGCTTCTAGATGTATGGAAAAACACAAGGGTCAACAAATGAGTACAAAAAATAATTTAATTTATTGGGGTTTGAAGTTTTTTTAAAGCAGAGAAATATTGAGTTGTCGGAAAAGTAATGACGTATTTTTTCTATGTTTTTCGTTGCAAAAATGCGTCATGACTTTTCCGACAACCCAATATAAAAAGGTTAACTCATGCTGTGAGCACTATATTAAAATAAATTGTTTAATGTTCTGTTCTGTTTAGTCACTGAGGGCAGGGGACAGTATGTTTCCTGACATAGTTAGGCAATCAATACTGACTGTTTCAGGAATAGCTGAGATCCAAAATAGGGGCTACAAGTGCTCTCACTTCAGTACAAACCATCTCTGCTTGCTGGCGTCTGTGCCGTTCCACTAACGCAGCCCTGGTTATCTCTCATCTTCAGAACTGTATCCCTACGTATAACTTCCACAGCATTATCGGATTTTTAGTCTCCCTGCCTGGCTTTCTTGCTTTAATGTAACCATTTTTGCCTAATTTTCCAATAAGGGACATATCAGTGTTTGTATTGTTACTATGTATATGTTGTTGTATTGTTACTATTCCTATAAATATTTTGTTAGCATTTGGCTCATCCTACTACAAGCTGCCTTTTCTTTCTCTTCCTTTTTCGAAACTTTTTTTTTTTTGCATTGAGTAATTGAATAGATTTTAGTGGTTTAAAACGAAAAGTTCTTTGTTTAACTCCTGATCGACATTTTGTGATGTACTTTTATAGCTTTGTATAATTTCAAGGCATATACCCTTAGTTTTTCTTCTTTCATCAAGTTATATTGAATAAAAATTTGTTATGATTACTGCTACACAGTGACTAGAGCCTAGAGAAGATGGCTAATTTTTTTAATCTTACATATGTTTAAGACTTTTAAAGTATGCTTTCACATTTAAAACCTAGAAACCCTGTTCAGCATCCTTCCTCCTCCCCATAAAAATAAAGTCAGTCTCCTTAAAGTCCTCGAAATGCATAGCCCAGCTTCTCAGCCTAATCACCATCCAGCCAAATGGGCAAAATGCAGCCTCCTAGATGAACCATGAACTTCAGTTTTAGACCTTTACACTTCCCCTGTCTCCTGCCCCAGCTATCTGCCTATCCCTTCTTCTAGGATTTTGCTCTTTCCAGGCCATCTTCTCCCTGCGCAGGCTCCTGACCTGACGAGTGGGGTCAGAAGTAGTTTCTGTGCCCCCAGTGGGGGCATTCATATTGCCTGTTATTCTTCTTTGCCTTTTATCATGATAATAAGGTGTGTGTTTCTTATATACAGTAGTTCTGAGAAAGTGCAATCAGTATGAGGCACATTCCGTGATTTTTGTACATACTCATACATCTCTCTTCTGACTAGACGGTAGGCCCACTGGGCACAAGTGTCATGCCTCCTATTCCTTTTTATCTCTCACAGCACGAATACAGAGCCTGTTTGTTCATTGACTCAGCATCAAACATTTGAGGCATTTTGCCAACATTTCAGATCACTAGTAAAATGCTACTGACTTCTAAGGTTGTTAATGTTATTTTAGTTAATTTATAGTATAGTATACTTAAGGGATTACAGAGCATGGAATTTATGTCTCCTAGTTTTGTTTATTTATAATTCTTAAATTACAAATAAAGTGTGAGCAATAAAAAAATAAATTTTCAAATGAAACTGATGGGTTGATATTACATAATGGTAGATAATCACATGTTAAATTTGTATTCTCAAGAAATTAGAAAAATATATCCACTTTTTTCAGGTTGTGGAACTCAGTAGCTGTGAAGAAACTCAAGCATTAGCACTGAGAGTTATACTCTCGTTAATTAAATACAATCAACAGAGAATACATGAACTAGAAAATTGTAATGGGCTTTCCATGATTCATCAGGTGTTGATCAAACAAAAATGCACTGTTGGCTTTCACATTTTGAAGGTATGTCCTCATAACATTTATTCTCATAATTTCATATACAGTGATACTTCTTTCTTAAAGTCTTCCAGTAGTAGAATTTATGTTTTAGTTCTTCCTGAAGAAAATGAAGGAATCTCAGTAGTGTAAATTTAATCAAACTAAGGTACTCTCCTGGTTTTTTTAGTTTCATCATTTAAATAATTACATTTTTATTTTCTTCAAAGCATTTTAGAAGAGTAAGAGAAAAAAATAAACTCATAGAATTTGGGTCTAGATGAGCCCAGAGATGTCTCCTAGGCTGGCCCCTCACCCGGGAGATGTTGGAATTGAGACCCTCAGAGGCACTGTTGTTAAGGGAGAGAACCTAGTGCTCTGCTATTTCCATGCGGTCATGCTGCTATAGAGTTAGTTTTTTAAAGACATATTAGTTTTTATTCCAATCCAGCTGTCATTATATACTTCAATACCTTTCTGGCTAAAGGCAGTTGGTAACATTGTGAAAGTCTTTCTCTTAGGTACCGGTACTGAGGCAAAAACGATGCCTCTATCTGGGTGCCTCCACTGCCCCACTCTTTATACTATCGAAGTCCACACATTTGTGGCACGAGTCCTAACCACTTTTAGGGGGAAAGTTGTAAAGCCTAAGGGATCCATTGAATTTAAAAAAATAAAAATAGAATGTGGTTTAATTTACCCCACGCTGTAAACTGAGTAATCATGTACAAACATTTGAAAGTTTGTGTTTTTCTAATTATTTGAATTGTTAGCAAAACACATTAAAGATCCTTTGTGAAATTTTGACTTACTCACCAGTTTTCCTTTGAATTTAATGTTATGGTTGCTAAGATTGAAAGTTTAATGTTTCTGTTGAATTTTGGGATTAATCATTTATTAATGCACCTTGTGTTAATGCTAATTTTCCGTAGACCCTTCTTGAAGGTTGCTGTGGTGAAGATATTCTTCTTATCAATGAGAATGGAGAGTTTCAGTTGGATGTAGAGTCTAATGCCATTATCCAAGATATTAAGCTGCTCGAGGAGCTATTGCTTGACTGGAAGATATGGAATAAAGCAGAGGCACGTACTTTTTTTTTTTTAATGGTAACAAAAACACATGATACAAATTTAGCCTCTTAACAATTTTGAAGCATATGGGACAGTTGTACCTATATACACTTTGTTATACAACAGAACTCTGAACTTTTCATCTTGCTTGACTAAAACTTCCCCCATTGAACAACTCCCCGTCTCCCCTCCCCCAGGCCCTGGCACCCACCATTCTACTTTCTGTTTCTGTGAGTTTGATTACTTTAGATATCTCATATAAATAGAGTCATTCAATATCTGTCTTTTTGTGATTGGCATGTCTCACTTAGCATTATGTCCTCAGGGCTCATCGTTGTTGCAGCATATGACAAGATTGCTTTCTTTTTTAAGACTGAGTAAAGACTTTTATGTATAGACCACATTTTCTTTATCCATTAATCTGTCAATGGACTTTTAGTTTGCTTCCACTTCTTGGATACTGTGAATAATGCTGCAGTGAACATGGAAATCCAAATGTCTCTTCAAGATCCTGTTTTCAATTATTTAGAATACAAATTCCCAGAAATAGGATTTCTTAATCATGTAGTGGTTCTATTTTTTTTTTTTTTTTTTTTAGTGATCTCCATACTATTTACTGTAAGAGCGGCACCATTTTATAATCGTACCAACAGTGTGCAGGGGTTCCAGTTTCTCCACATCCTGGCTAACAATTGCAGTTTTCTTTTGATAGTGGCCATTCTATTGGTTGTGAGGTTATGTCTCATTGTGGTTTTGACTTGCATTTCCCTGATGATGAGTGATGATGGGCATCTTTTCATGTACCTGTTGGCCATTTGTATATCTTCTTTGTAGAAACGTCCATTCAAGTCCTTTGCCCATTTTTTTAATTGGATTATTGGATTTTTTTATTATTGAGTTCTAGGAGTTCTTTATATTTTCTGGATATTAATTCATTATCTGATACATAGTTTGCAAATATTTTCTCCCATTCCCTGTTGGTTGTTTCCTTTGCTGCACACAGAGGCATGTACTTTTAAATAATCATCTAATCATTCATCTGGAGAACAGAACAAATTTACTACTTCAGTATAATGTTAATTATAAATGGAAATTTGGAGATTATTTTCTGTGCAAGGTTTTGAGCAGCCATGAGTAATGCTGAACTGTCGGGTCAGAATCAGAACCTGGGCTGGCTGGGGATAGCTAGAGAACATGGGGCTCATTTGAATGAATTGGAGACTTGGGCATTTATCCTAAACTCTAAAAGAGAACCCTGCTAAGAATCTGGGAAGTCAGGTATAGAAGAGGGAAATGGACACACTTCTGAGTAGGGGAGCCAGGTAGCCCAGGAGGCAGGGAGCTCTTATCAGGGTACACTGGGCAAGGCTGTGCAGTCTTCCTCCTCATAGGCATGAGCTGAGGAGCATGGTTCGATCTTAGATCTGGGCACAGCATCTAAACACTGGATGGGTGGGCTGGTCTGCACAAGGACCCAGCCAGGGAATGAATATAGGGCCGTTTCCTTTCTGCCCTGGTTTTAAACAGTCTTCATAGCACAGGTTCATTCAGGCTGCTTAGTTCTAGTGTAGACTGTACATTGTCTAGAGTTATTTAGACTATAAAAACATTATCATCAAATACAATTAAAGGCCAATTCAAAGTGAATCCATACCTTTAGAATTAAAAAAAAAAATGGTTATTCCCAAATTTGACCATAGCCCCCACAAAATTTACTCGTTATCAATAATGACTTGTGAATCCAAAAGAAATTTTTCTAATCATTAATAAAAATAAATTTTGACCAAACATGCTAGAGGAAAGACGGAATTAGTTTTCCATTCTTTCTTTAGAAAATTATATTACAAAATTACTGTTATATGAGGAGGCAAATACTATGCAGCCACAGCACATGGGGAAAGTATTATGGAGTTGTGTCAAGCAGCTAACCTCATTGTTGCTTTTTTGGATTTTATGGTATTTGTCAGTTTTTAAAAATTTGTAATTTGTTGTGACTTCTTTTCTCATTCTGAATAAATACTTTCAGAATAAAAAAAGAACTATATATATGTGTGCATAAAAATATGTGCAGTGTTGCAAGGAGAGAAAGCAAATGAACATAGCGATAGCGTGTGTAACAAACTGGATCAAAGGCAGTATAACTATAGACATACACTAAAGAATCAGTAGATTGGAAGATCATACCTAATAAATGTTAGACGATTGTTGTAATGTCTCAAAGGAGGATGCTAATTTGTGGTTGTTTGATTTAAAAAAGACATTTTTTATTGAATTCAAAAGTGATACAAATACTTCTATGGTTTGCTTTCCTAATTATTTTTCAATTGAGTTTGTTTTTGTTGTGGGTGTTTGTTTGCTTTGGCACTATTCTAGTTTATATTATTTTTCAGACCTGAATCAAGTTTTCATACTTGGTCTGCCTTGTCCAGTTTTCCTATGCAATTTTTTTAGGGCATCTTGGCCCAATCTTGTGAAGAGAAAGGCTGTGGTTAGAATAGTGTGATAAAATTGTCAATTCCTTGACCTTTTTATTGTCCATCAACATCAGATAATGGCAGCAGGAAGAGAAAGACCTGCGGCCCAAGCCAGTTAATTTTGCTGTTTGTTGACAGCTTTGTTGAAAGATCGCTTGGGGTAATAAAATGAAGATTATCTTTCAATATTAATTATCTATATAAGATTCCTTTTTCTTTATTATTATGGGCAATTTAAGATCGATTCAGTATGGAAGAAGCATTTTTAAGGTACATTAAAAATGTGCTAACTACTGTTTGAAGATGCACCGTTTGTAATTGTGCAGAAAATTCTATTATTTGGGCTTAAAAGTAAACTAATCCAAAAATGCAGAACTTGCGTATTGTCAGTGACTTTCAATTTCGTACTATTTGTTCTAAAATTATTTGATTAAATTCTGTCTACACAAATTAGCATTGGAGTCTATACATTTTTAATAATGAATGCTATTTGAAGATAAATTACTTGTCAACTATTATACTGATAAGTTGTCTTGCTCTGTATTGAATAAATCTCAAGATAATTCACGTTCAGAAATATTACATATCATTTAATGCCACGGAAAGGTTAATGTACTAAAGCACCTAATGCAATATTGCATTTAATATAAGTATTTAGAAAATGAAATATTGACCAAAAAAATAGTCTGGGAATAAATTTTAAGATTTCCTTTTCAGACAGAATTAATCTTTGACTCTGAATATATGCACAATGTTAAACTGATATACTGCGTGGCTTCAAAAAAGCATGTGGCATGTTTTTCATTAACTTTGTGCTAATTTGTGTGCATGTTTATCTCTTCAGCAAGGTGTTTGGGAAACTCTGCTGGCGGCTCTGGAGGTGCTCATCCGAGCCGATCACCACCAGCAGATGCTGAATATCAAGCAGTTACTGAAAGCGCGAGTGGTTCATCACTTTCTGCTGACTTGTCAGGTTTTGCAGGTACTTTGCATGTAGCGTTACTTTTGGAGATATTTTCTGCAGTTACTTCTGTTTCATAACTCAGTACTGTGGACTCAGATTTTTGTGAGACTTCCAACGAAATTTTTCTCTTTTCCATCTTTCCTACTCTCCCATATCCCTTCTTTAACAAATAGCATAGGAGCTTTTCAACCCCTGCCTCTTAGAGCTTGATCTTCACACTGTCGTTGTTCCTAATTCAATTACAAAAGAACAACAACTGTGAATTTCTGAGATGTTTTTTCTTTCTGTTGGGATATAATAATAATTTTGTTATCTTTTGAACATCAACAGTAGTGAAATTTTGGTTTGTTCCAAGCTTTGCATGGTGGCAGTATTGTAGCCAATGAGGTTTATCTGAGGCACGATCATTGCTAACTAAAACTTGTTTCCACTGTCCTTGAATAACAAATAAAAGTATGTATTGTTTTAATAAGTATGTATTGGCTGAAGATCTATTATGAGTGCTAGAATTAGCATATTGAAAATAGATCGAAAATATTATGTTGAAAAGTGGCACTGACTTCACTGGTTGCATTGTAGTGTCCATGCTGTGGTCTGGCTTCTAGTTAAATTTTTTTCTTTGCCTTCACAGATGTCCTTTTATCTGTTTGTTTGGTGTATTGGGCTGTCTCAAGTTTGTCTGTCTGTCTGTTCAATGTCTGAGCCTCTGTTAGAACTCTGTCAGGTCAGATGAGTATGATGTTCCACGGCATCAGTAATACTTGATGTTTTTAATGCCTGTTTCAGTGGCAGTAGTGACTTCTCATTGTACTCGGCATAAAATCCAAAAGCTATGACAATATCTATAAGGCTTGTGTGATCTGCTGCCACTCCAGCCTCATCTTATGCCATTGCAGCCCGCACCGTCCACCCCCCCACACACACACACATACACACGCACTTTCTCTTCCTTCAGCAGTGACCCTTGAGCCACCTCAGGGCACATGATATTCCTTCTGACTGAGAGTAAGCCGTTATCTATCCATTCCTTCCATCTGGCCAGCTCCTGCTTACCCTTCCTGCCTCAACTTTAAATGTGCGTCCTGAGAGAAGCCCTCGCTGCCCTTTTCATTTCAGTCAACGCTTTCCCCTTTCTACGCTTGTTCTCACTCCACACATATCCCGTTTGTTAGTTTTGTCATTTATGACATTATAGTTTATTTCCCGCTGCAAACCTCCGGAGGATAGGGATAATATTTTTGTTGATCCCACTGTAACCCCAGTACCTGTCACAGACAGGCACCCACCCAATAAATATTGTTAAATGAATGAATTATAAAAAAGCAAAACCAAAAACATTTGTTGCCTTTCTTGGCCCCTGTGATAAATTGGACCATTGTCTTCAAGAATACAATAAAATGCTCTCAGGCCTCTTACTGAATATTTTATGTATCATTTCTGCATCAGTTTTGCGTGTCCATTTTGAAACTTGTTGGCCAATTTTCAGTGAGTTCATGTGACAGTGTGAAGTTCTTATTCAGTCTGTTCATGTCAGAAAAGTAACATGTCAGAAAAGTAAAATTTGGAGATTTTAATATATATTCTCACTTCCATATTATTTCTAAAAGTGCTAGAAAAAAATCCAGATACTAATTCCCTTTCCTGAAAAATATATTTTCTCACCCTTTTTCATTTAAAGAGTCTGTTTATCAAATTAATAGTTATTTATTAAGAATAGCTTTATATTAGGTATTATGGGACGTATATAAAGAAATAAACTTTGTTGTTACCTTTAAGGTATCTCACAGTATTTAAGGAAAATTAATAAATCGGTAGTATATTGGATGTGAGGTAGTCTTATTAGTTCATGAGTACAGCATAAAGAACCTGAACTTGGGTGATAAAAATGGGAGGATAAAAGTAGGGAGCAAATATGAAGGAGATTGTAAAGGCAGAATTAATAGGTCTTGATTCTCTTAGAATAGAAGCTTCAGGAGAATCAAATATATAGTGTAAAATTTCACACTGGGAGACTATAAGATAGCATCATCCAAGAAAGAAGAATGGCACGTGCCAGGTTTGTCCTTAAACCCTCTGTATTTGAGGTTACGGGGGGACATTCAGGGGCATTGACCACTAGGCACTGAGCTATACAAGATTGGAACCTGGGAGAAGACTTAGAGAACGAGGTTGGGAATGGTGTCTACTAGTGTCAGAGCGAAGGCATGGGGATAGGTAAGCACTAAAGAGAAACAAGTGTAGTGAGAGGATCACACACCTCAGGAAACATCCATTTTTAGGGTGAAGGAAAAGGGGCTGTACAAAAGGGTGGGGAAGGAGTCGTCGAAGAGGTGAGAGAAGAATCAGGAAACTCAGTAAAGTGAAAGCCAAGGCGGGCAGAGGAGAAGAACCTGCCCAGCAAGAGGCAGTCTCTACACCAAATAATACAGAAAGTTCAAAGAACACAGAGCGTAAAGGACCGTGGACTTGGATGTGCTGAATGGCTGACAGGATTTCAGTAGATGAAGAGGAGCCAGATGTCAGGGACTTTAGGTGGCGTGTGCAGTGGGATGACTGGAGGTGGTGAGAGTAAGCGATGGTTAAAAGTCTAGCAGCCAAAGGAAAGAACAGAATGCTAAAGTAAAAGGTCCCAACAGGTCACGTTCAGGGATTTTTTTTTTTAGAAATAGGATACTAGCAACTATTTGTCAGGAGTCAGTGGAGAGGACAAGATTGAGGAAACATGGGCTGGGATGGGTTTAGGAATGAATGCTTGAGGTGGCTGCCAGGAGAGCTGGGAAGGTACGAGGGCACAATTTAGAAAAAGGCAGGGAGTCGTAGCAGAAACACACTGAACAGAAAGCCAGGAGACCATGTTCTCGCCTTGGCATGGCCACCAGCAACTGAGATGTTGGCAAAGGGGTCTCATGCGTCTTCTGTAAACTCAGTGTTCTCTTTGTACATCTGAATCAGACTAAACTGTTTCAAAGTTAACATCTAGATTTTACTTCCGAAGAGAAGTGGATGTTGAGAGATATATCATATATTTGGATATGGGGAAAGGGGCAAGGAGGAAGTTTATTTAATTCCCATAGCCTTCATCTGGAGGTCAGCTGCTACCCCTGGGTAGGTGGGATTAGAGAATATGATTTATTTATATCTGTCTTTACCTGTAGTAATGAGTTGGCATTGTTCCCGACAGCGGTGCTGTAGAAAGACAACCGAGGTCTGAGTGTGAGTCATGGCCACACTACCTCATGTTTTCTGCATGGCTTCCATGCTCATATACAGAACCACTTTGAGCCTTCAGAGTCTAGAGATGAGGGATAAAACCTCTCAGCTGCTGTGGGAAAGTTTTTTGTAAACTTGGACATACTGTGTTAACGGCATCGGTTTTATCTATCAGAAATTTTCCCTCATCCCCTAGTAGCAGCAGCAGTCATAGCAGTGGCAGCAGTGATAATGTCACCAGCAGTAGTAACGTTTACATGGGGCTTACCACATGGCAGGCACTGGTCTAAGAGTGTATATGTCATTTATTCTTATAACAATACTATGAAGTAGCACTGTGTTACTCCCAGAGTATAAAGCACCTGAAGCATGGAGATATTAAACAGGCCCAGGATCGCACAGCTAGTGAGTGGAGGAGCCAGAAAGCAGATGTGGGCAGCTGTGTCCCGGGTTGTGAGTGCTATTTAGAATACAACTTGGCCTCAGTCAGTTAAGATAAATAGGCTTGAATTGAATTGCCATTGGTTTTAATGAGAAATAGCAACTCAACATAATGGTAAATGTGGTCAGACCAGAGAAATAAACCAATTCAATTCTATCTTAGAAAGAATATCTTGCTTAAGTGAAAAATGTTGGTTAAGTTGATAATTCTCTTTAAATCTAAAAGGAGTTTGATTTTTATTTTTTCAGGAACACAAAGAGGGGCAGCTTACTTCCATGCCCCGAGAGGTTTGTAGATCATTTGTGAAAATTATAGCAGAAGTCCTTGGATCTCCTCCAGATTTGGAATTATTGACAATTATCTTCAATTTCCTTTTAGCAGTTCACCCTCCTACTAATACTTACGTTTGTCACAACCCCACAAACTTCTACTTTTCTTTGCACATAGGTAGGTATAATCATTTTTGTTAGATCTTGGCTATCCCCATGTTTGTTTTTCTTCCTGTTTCATCCACATTTGTTTGATGTTCATTGACTGGCCTCTATGTACTAGAAACTGCCCTAATTACACACTGGGGTTGGGACAGGGCAGAGGGCCATGACATGAACCAGACATAGTCTGTGCGTTCAGAGAGCTTAAATGCCAGGGGAGAGGAGACATAGACTCAACTATAGTAAGAAACAGTATTTGGTAAGTACCCAATAGATGCATAAGAATAACTAATTAGATTTCAGAGGAGTGAGGGTTTCATCAGGCAGCTGTGGAGAGAGAAGATTTAATTTACATATCTGACATGGACATTGAAGAATTTAGGCAGAATTTGATAGGTAGAGCGAAGAATTAACAAACATTCCAGGTGAAGAGAATGATGTAAAGGGAGGGGAAATAGAAAGAGAAAATAAAGAAGAATGACTTACTTAAATATAGGGGATCTATAAAGGAGTGGTGAGAAATGCCATAAATATAGTTTGGGGCCATCATTTATTATTTTCCTGTAAGGTCATATTAATTGGGTTCTTGAATGTAAGGCCAGAGAATTTAAACTTGTAACGTTCTAGTTAGGGGTTATTGAAGGGTTTTGTTTTGTGTCTGTTTGTTTTGAGCAAAGGGATATGGTGTAAGTAAATTATTGCAGTAAGATTCAGGAAAGAGAAACTACCCGCATAGAATGACTTGAAGCTCTAAGAATAGATGAGACCACTGAAGTAAAGTGGAGCAAGAGAAGGAAAATAGAAGCTAAGGAAAGAACTACTGGCAATAGTACTACTTGGAGGGTGGAGTGAGAAAGAGGCATCAGTATAAGGGAAAGATGGAATAATCAGGGTTCTAAAAGGACCAGGAAAATGTAATGTGGTAAGAAAGCAAGCAAGACTATACCTATGAGAAAGCTGACCAGGAAATTTAGAGGAAAACTGGTTGTAAAGCAGCCATTTTAAGGAATGTGATAAATGAATAAAATGATTCAGCAGCACTAAAAATCTAATGAAATTAGCATGACTTTGTGTTAGGTTCAACACTCAGTGAACAAAATACTGTCAAGAGTCTGAGAGCAGGGTAATTACAAAGATGAGTAAAACATGGTCTCGTTCCTTAAGGAGCTTACAGCCTAGTAGGGAGCAGCGAGACATAAACAGGCAATTACACCAGGTGGAAAGCACAGTGATGTAAATATTTACTTTTCTGGTAGACTAGAGCGTAGTGAGGGCATGCTTCCTGGAGGAGGTGACACGTGCTGTAAGTCTTAAAGGATGGGAAGGAGCTGAAGAGAAGGAAGGGCATCCCAGGCAAAGCAGACAGCTCAGTAGGGAGCTATGAGAAATGGGTGTTGCTAAAGTGTAATGTAAGAAAAAAAGGCTCGGCTGGAAGGGGTCTGGGGACAGATACATCTTGTGTAGACAAGATGCTTGGACTTTATCCAGAGTGGTAAGGAGGCCACAGAGAGCCACTGGAAGGTTTCAAACAGGGGTTGACATTTGATAGAATTCTGGTAGTGATGTGGATTTGAGGGTGACCAGATGTCCATCACCGATACCACTTAGAAGTCTGTGACAATAATCCAGGTGAGAGGTGATAGGAGCCTGCGTTATAGCACTACGCTAGGGATGGAAGAGTTTAAGAAACAGGAAGTAAAGTCAGAAGAACCTGGAGACTGACTTAACATAGGTAAAGGAAAGGTAGTGGTCAAAAGTGGCTGCAGGTTTTTACATGGAGAAATGGGGGCTTCTACCAAACAAAACAGAGGACAAAGCAGAAAGAATGAATTTAGGGCAAAAAGATGATTCAGGTTTAGATTTGTTGCATTTGTGATACACTTAAGTCAATCAGTTGGATTTATAAGTATGAAGATCAAAAAAGAAGATTAAGCTGTAGGTATCCATTTTGGAGTCATTTTGAACATTGAAGGAGTTGTATAAAAATACAAGACACAGTCCTTTCCTCAATGAATGAGGAGATAAATAGTCTCCTTACAGAGATCAGATTAACATAAAAAGTAAACAGCAATCTGTTCAACTATAGAAGTAACTGTAAGTACAGCTGGAATTCAAGGAAAATAGGAGTTACTTTGGCTAGTTATCAACAAAAAAAATCTATGGAAAGAAATTGTCCAGTGTACTCACAGGTCAAATGTGCATTAGTATAAAGTATGCATATTTTTTCACTTTGATCATCTGTTTGTAGAAATTTGTATTAATGATTTGCTTTTAAAGTTAAATTTTTGTTCTATCCTTTTTAAAAATTCTACTGCCTCAAATCGATTCTAGATGGCAAGATCTTCCAGGAGAAGGTAGAGTCTATCATGCACCTGAGACATTCCAGCGGCGGTGGGAAGTCTGTCCCCAGCCCTGGGCTGATGGTAATAAGCCCTTCTGCTTTTACCGCTTCACCATCTGAAGGTAAGAATAATGAGAATGGAAGTATAACCCTTCCCAATTTAGTTCTGAATATTACTAGGTACATAAAGTGTCCATGTTTGGGCAGTATAGTACCAGCTGATATTCAGACCAAATAAGTGGAAGGTTAAACTTAGAAATGATGGAATATGTTTAAGGAATCCCTTTCACTACTGGTATCACTGACTCTCCATATAACAAGAGATGCTCAGGACGCCTTAGGAAATGGATGGGGCTTGTGCTATCTTGCTCTGCAGCTCTCCGTCCCCTCTTATCGTAGTCATTTGTCTTTCATTGAGCTGCTGATTTATTTTCCCACTGTCTTCAAAAGTTTGTTGGCTTACTCTCTCCATCCTACCTAAACTCATCATTCTAGACATGCCATGTGATTGGCCATTCGGTACTTCAGCCTCACAGTCATTGACTCTGGGACCTTTCCCGTGACTTTATCTGCTAACAAGCCTGCATCTGTCCTGGACTTCATCATTGTCAGGAATACTTCCCACCTCTGAACCTCCAGTGGCCCGCTCTCCAGTTAACAATCTACTACTATCTTCCTGGTTTCTTTGTCACCTCCCAAGTTCTCTTTTAGCCTGGATCCCCGTAGTTTTCGTGACACTATCTTTGGTTTCCTTGTTCTCTTGGCCTTTGGGCATTCTTGACCTGAAAGACCCGAACCTTGCCTCAATATAACCATCCTTACATTGCTGAAAGCTGCTAGATACAGTAATTGTTGAGGATTCCTGCCATTCTAGGGTCTCCAACTGAAGCTGGCCTTTTAATGTTGGCTGCCCTGCAATTTTTCTGTATGTTCAGAAGCAATTCCCTCTGCTGTTTCCATGCCAAGTACAATATGTTCCAAATCTTTAAGCTTATAGTGCTTTTCTATCTTCTAATTTACTCCTAATAGACTACCTCATCTCTACTGTTATAGAGAAAAAATAGGTGCGTGTCTCCTGGTTGTGAGCTGGCTGCATGTCTCCCTTTTCTGACTGCTTGTTCTCTTCCACACTGAGGCTTTGCTTTTATTGTCAGTCCCTTGTCTTGCCGCTGTCTCAAATACAAATTATTAAATAGTGCGGGTAAGGTAGCGATATGGACAGACAGGATGAGATATATGGGCATTGATCTGCAGTTTGTTTCTCCCCCAGTGTTTCAGTTATTCTTTAGCGCATTTTATGGCCTCTTATTATATTATTTTATGGCTATGTTTTAATTATTATTATTAAATTTAATTATTTTATTTGGAATTTTATAGGAAATGTCTATTTTTAAAATCATTGTGCATCACTCTGAAACATTTTCAAATACAGTCATTCCCCTCATTTTTTCTAGCTCTTTTGAACAGAATCGTTTGGCAGCCTTAGCCCTCCCGCCAAAATCCATAAATAACTAGGAAAAACTTCTGAGCTATGGAACTATTTTATTGCCACAAATTCTGTGCCCTAAAGCAGTTTGTTCAGTGCCTATTTATTCTATATCAGGGCTTCTCAAGTTTTAACATGCAAAAAAATCTCCTGGAGAGCTTGTTAAAATGCAGATCCCTGGTCCCCCCTCATTCATTCTGATTTGGTAGCTCTAGGGTGAGAACATGCATTTTTAACAGTCACACAGATGGTACTGATTCCCACCCTGGTGGTCCACAGACCACAGCTTGAGTAGCATTCACTTACATCCAAGGCACGTAGAATGAGCGACTTTTCTGGTCCCTACATAGAATATTAGAAGCCGCACATATGAGAGCTATAGCAAGAAGAGAATAAAACTGTCATTTCTCACTAATAGCAGCAAGAAGTGACTGCAGAAATGGAGGCGTGAGAGAACAGCCTAGGGCCATTTAGTCTAGTAATAACAACAAGCACGACTATTACTGCCTTTTATCGAGCACCTGTTCTTTGCCAGGCACTGTGCTAGGTGCATCACAAATGTGATCTCACTTAAGCCTTAAAGCAGCCTTAAAAGTCAGTGTTCCAAACCCTCATTTGACATTTGCAGAGACTAACACCCATATAATTAAATGGTGTCCCCAAGGCCACCTAACAGAACTATCACATGACCCCAGTTCTGTCTAGCTGCAAAGCCCACACTCTTTCTGTTATATCAAACTGCATCCTAGTGACTGCAGGTAAATTCAGTTTTACTTAATTCACTTAATTTCACTACAGTAGAACCATCAACCCTAATGATTTTGAGTCATTCAGTCAATATTGTGTTTTGTTAAGGAGACAGGAAAAGACATAGAATTTGGGAAGATTTGAATAAAAAAATAGTTAAAAGAAAAATTGTTTTGGAACTTAAGAATTTTTATTTGAATTTTTTTTATTAGTTGTCAATTAAGAATTTTAAGCATTAGTTATTAGGAACACTGACCTGTATGGACTCTTTAATGTTGCTGGATGAACGGGTTACTGCCACGGTTGTGACAGTGCAGAAAGGAAGGGGTTTCACCTAACAGGCTTTTAGGTAGTATTTTTTATCTACTTTTACCAGGAAACAATTCCTCCAGTATCATCCCACCATGGATGACTGCTAACCTGCGGCGTTCTCGAAGCCTGCCAGCACTTCCTACTTCTCCTCTAATGCAGCCACAAAAAATGATGGCAAGTTCAGGTTGTGGTATTGACAGGTTACAAAGTACTACAGATAATCGTGTTGCTGCCCAGCCAGAGAAACAGAATCCTCTGGGGAGTTCCGAGACACTGAAAAAAAGCCCAGAGGACCCAGTCATCAGTAGCTGTGAGTCTGCAAAAGCCATTGGTGAGATGGAACCTGGGCTTTTGGGACAAGCCTCTGTGGATGGTGTCTCCAAGGGGACATTGGAATTTCCGCTGTACAAAGGAGATCATAAAGAGTTGGGAGCAGAGCTCAGTTTAGATGATGACAGCCCTGGGGACGAGTCCTGCCCACGCCGCCCCGATCACCTGCAGGGACTGGCTTCATTCCAGAGAAGCCACAGCACTATTGCAAGCCTCGGGCTGGCTTTTCCTGCACAGAATGGGTCCGCAGCCCTCGGCCGTTGGCCAACTCTTGTTGATGGGAACACCGAGGGTTGGGAAAGCTTTGCCCTCCCTCTTGGTTATGAGCCAAACTACAGCCGAACTACAATTGCTCTCAGGTACTCACTTGTTTTTGCATGCCCCCTTCCCGTTTTTACTATTCTTTGAAGAGCCTCTACACTTCTAGAAATATCTTCATTATGTCACTTCATATGATATTACATTCATATTAATGACAAACAAAAAGATACCTTTCTCCTTATTTGAATGCTAGATAATATTGAATTCCAAAGTTAACCGAAAGCTAAACCATAAATAGATCTCAAAGAAAAACAAATTTTGTGGTTTGTTTAATTCTTTATGGTTATTAGAGAAAAACTCTTCAGTTCAGGAAAATTATAAAGATGTATTGTTGTTTCCAGAAGCATCTCAAGTAGCACTGTCCAGTGATGATGTAGCTGTCTGCTACTGTAGACACTGGCCACGTGTGCCTGTCAAGCACTCGAAATGTGGCTCGTGCAATGGAGGAGCTGAATTTTTTATTTAATTTTAAATAGTTTAAATAGCGTAAGTGGCTAGTGAATGTGGTTGGACTTCATGGAGAATAGAATAGTGTTTAGTAGACTATATGCCTAAAAAATTCTGGTGATAAAAACTGATGACAAATTTGTTCATCTAAATCAGGAAACATTTTTTAAACCTTATGAACTTTTGTTTCACATGTTAAAATTATTACTACAGTCATGTACCACATAACGTTTTGGTCAATGACGGACCGCAGATATGATGGTGGCATACCATACAGCTTAGGTGTGTAGTAGGCTGTACCATCCAGGTTTGTGTAAGTCACCCTATGATGTTCACACAATGACGAAATCGCCTAATGACGCGTTTCTCAGAATGTATCCCGTAATTACGCAGCATATGACTGTACTCGTCACAGTTCTTAAGGTAATCATCATGTCCTTTTCTCCCTGATGTTGTGATAGTAAGACTTTTTGGGTCTCTTTTAGTGTAACCGAAGACTGTTTGGTACCTATATGCTGTGGATTATATGAGCTGTTAAGTGGAGTTCTTCTCATCCTGCCTGACATTATGCTTGAAGATGTGATGGACAAGCTGATTCAAGCGGATATGCTGTTAGTCCTCGTTAACCACCCATCACATGCTATCCAACAAGGAGTTATTAAAGTAAGCGCAAATCTTAGATGTGTTGTTTGAATTCAGAAAAATAAATCTATGTGTAATTTATAATTTGAATATATAGGTATATTGAAAGAGACCTAAAGTTTTATTTTATGCTTAGGAATAATGAGCTGGTATAATTTGTTACTTCTTCCTTATATTTTCAAATGTATTATCATCTAATCTTAAGCCCTCCTCCATATGTTGACTTGTGTCAATATGTTTTTTAAGTCTACCAATTACGAGGAACACGTAGTTCACTGGGCATCTTTCCTGCAGTGTAGTATCAAATCTTAGACATTTACTTCAGGTTTTAGCTCAGCTGCCATCTTTTCAAAGAAGCCTTCCCTGATCACCTTTCCTGTAGCCTTCCTGTAGCCCTGTTCCTCATGTATTCTATCATAGCATATGTCTTGTCATTATCTTTTTAATTTACTTATGTACTTTTAAAAAAAAATCTCCCACACTGTAATATAAGCTCCGTGAAGGTAGGCATCCGTGTCTAGTATATATTAGGTACTAATTAATTAATTGATGTAGGATATTGTTTAATCACTTGCAGTTCAGTATTTACTGCACTTCCATTCTGTGTGCAAAACACTGGGCTAGTTGCTATGTGGGATATGAAGAGGAATAATATAAGCCTCTACATTGAAAGGATTTATAGTCTAGTGAGGGAGAGAGACGTACACCCACCTAAGTAAAATGTGAGCTTCTGTGAGGAGTGCTTCAATGGCAGCACTAATAAAAAAGAGTGGGAGCATAGGAGAAGCCATGAATTCTGATGGGGCAACCAAGGAAGGATTCACGCAGAAGGTGGATTTTGTATTATGCTGTAAACTTAGAAAGCTTTTTAAGTAGGGCAGTAAACACATATTTTTTGGGGAAGGACAGTCTATCCCCACTGTGAGGGAGTTACGGCCGGGGAGAGAGGTGAAATAATTTTCTTAGCAAGCTAGCACAGTAGTCCAGGGGAGAAATGATGAGTACCTGATCCGGGGAAGTGGAAGTTAAAGGACCGACAGATTGGAGAGACGTTCTCTGTTGTAGAGGAGAGGTTCCTTCATAATTACACGTGGGGAGTCAGGACGAGAAAAGGTTAGCCTGGAAGTCTAGGAGAAGAACGCTACTGCTCTGAGATCAGAACCATGGCAGAAGTGAGTCTGGAAGGAAAAATTATTAATTTGGTTTTACACATGTTACATTTAAGGTGCTAGGGAAGGGTGGAAATTTAGGCCTATGCTCAGGACAAGTAATCTGTTAAGAAGTCTAGAAATAGAAGTCTAGGAGATACCTACATATCTCTCTCCCCTTCCCCCTCCCCATCCTCCCTCCCTCCCTCACACACACACACACACACACACACACACACACGCACGCGCACACGCACGCACGCACATACACACGCACACACGCCACATAATGATGTTTTGGTCAATGGCTGAATATATGACCGTATATACCACTGCATATATAACAGTGTTATACCGCACAGCCTAGGTGTGCAGTAGGCCGTGCCATCCAGGTGTGTGTAAGTCACTCTATGACAGCGGTTCTCAACCTGCGATTCGTGACCCCTTTGGGGGTCGAACGGCCCTTTCACAGGGGTCGCCTGACCCTTTCACAGGGGTCGCCTAAGACCATCGGAAAACAAAAAGATACATACATTACAATTCATAACAGTAGCAAAATTACAGTTATAGAGTAGCAATGAAAATAAGTTTATGGTTGTGGGTCACCACAACATGAGGAACTGTATTAAGGGGTTGCGGCATTAGGAAGGTTGAGAACCGCTGCTCTATGATGTTCACACAATGACAAAGTCACCCAAGGACACGCTTCTCAGAACGTGCCCCTGTTAAGCGGCACATGAGTGTGCACACATGTGCTGAGAAAGCGGAGGACAGTGTTGACTGACTTCTCCCCTTCACAATTAGGATAATCATCCTACTTACGCTGGACTAAGGCTCCCAGGCCACAGCGTGTCCGTGTTCAGCTAAAGAGCTAGTCTCCCTGTGACAGAAGTATGAAGATCTCCAAGACGGGGTCATCCTTAGCATTCCACAGTAGTCAGAGACAGTTGATTTTGTTTTGCTATGGAGGTGGCATTTTTTGTAGCTGCTTATGTTCTATATATATGATATTAAACAATACCTTACAAATACAAGTATAACATACTGATTTGTATACATTAATATACAATTTTAATACATTATTCACATTGTCTGAATTTTTTTCCTTAGCTATTAGATGCATATTTTAATAGAGCATCTAAGGAACAAAAAGATAAATTTCTGAAGAATCGTGGCTTTTCCTTGCTAGCCAACCAGTTGTATCTTCATCGGGGAACTCAGGAGCTGTTAGAATGCTTCATAGAAATGTTCTTTGGTCGACATATTGGCCTTGATGAAGAGTAAGTGGGTTCTTCCCGCCACCATAATTGGGGATCTTTTGTCTTAAATGTAAAATTTATTAAACTGGCTCTTAAAATTATTTGATCACTTTTAGAAAAAAATCTGCTAAAAGTCTCTTTCCTGGTGAATCAGTTTATTATTCTCCATATGATATTCTTTCTAATATAACACCTTCCTTTGTATTTCATTCACTAGTTAGAAACTCAAAACAAGTAAATGCTACATTAAATGAAAGTAAGCGGTGATTAAGATGAGGCGGATAGTATTAACACGAGAAGGTTACTGAACAGCAAGGTGGCTTGTGTGTTCCCAGCAACAGATCACATGAGGGATCTGTGGAGAAGTCCCTTGCTTCCTTCAGAGCCTTCAGGCTTCCTGGGAAAAGAGCCAGCCCCTCACCTGGAATTCCTCGTGTGCTAATTACTGAGTTCCGACCCTGGTATACTGCTGAAGGGTTAGCAAACAAGCACAAAAATAAAAGAATAGTTTCTCCCAAGCCAGAAGTGCAGGAAAGTTAAAATGGTATTTCTGCCTATGATAGAGAGAAATGTGTGTCTCATTATTATTATTAAGTGTCTCCTACTTATTAAGTAGACCTTGCGGACTGTACTTACTAATTGCAGTGATGGCGGTAGTGCTTTTCATTTGCCTACAGCTTTTGGCTCTTTCAAAGCAATTCTGCATTGTCTCATTTGCTTCTCACAACAGCCTTGAGAAAAAGAAGGGCAAATATCACCACCCATATTTGACAGATAAGAAAAATGAGGTACCAAATGCTTAAATGTCTCCCTCCATCACAGAGACAAACAGTATCGGGACAAGAACTCAAGACTCATTCCTTTTGCTAAACCTGTCTTTACTAGCTCACTGACTCTCAATTTTGTTTCCTGTGCACTCATTATATAGACCCTTAAAGCAGGGGTTCTGTGGACACCTAAGGGGCCCACGGACAAATTAAAGTGAGTCAGTTAAAGCCATGAAATTGTATACGTTTCATTTGAATATTGGTGTATTTACCTAGAGACAGATTTTTAGCAACACCCTTTATCTTATTGTTGCAGGGGTCTATGATCTAAAAAAGTTAAGAATCCTTGCTCCCCATATTTATTTTTTATAGCTTCAGAATCAGGTAAACAAAATGGCACATATTACAATCGTTTTTCCTTATTTCTTGGTTAATTAATTCTAACATGTTCTTAATTGTGTATTATTTATTATAGATTTGATCTGGAAGATGTGAAAAGCATGGGACTTTTTCAGAAGTGGTCTGTCATTCCTATCCTGGGACTAATAGAGACCTCTCTGTATGACAACATGCTCTTGCATAATTCTCTTTTATTTCTTCTCCAAATATTAAATTCTTGTTCTAAGGTAGCAGATATGTTGTTGGATAATGGTCTTCTCTACGTGTTATGTAATACAGTGGCAGCCCTGAATGGATTAGAAAAGAAGTAAGTTTTAAATTGTTATTTAAAACTACATCTGATAAATACTTTGGAAAGGGAAAACTTTAGTAATAGGTCACATTAAAGCATCTGATTTTTCTTAATACAGTAAAACCTTGGATTGCGAGTAACTTGGTTTGCGAGTGTTCCGCAAGATGAGCAAACATTTATAATACATTTTAATGTGGTAAACGAGTGATGTCTTACAATATGAGTAGTTTGTTTCCAGAACAAATTATACTCACAAACCAAGGTGTTACTGTACTTTCAAAGAAATTCTTTCTTACAAAACGGATTGAATTAAATTAAATTAAATTTGGAGGGGCATATTTTCCATCATTTTCAACAAAGTTTGGTTAACAAAAAAGGTATTTATATGACCTACTCATAGGTATTTAGAACTTGAAGACAAGTTGAATAAGTGTAGCTCCCCTCAAATATACTTACCAAGCTTCCACTAAAGTCTGATAAAAATTATTATCCCTGTAGAAATAGGAAATTGAGGATTAGAGTGATAATAACTTGGTGAAGATCACACAGCTAGTAACAGAGAACTTGAGATTGAATGTGTCTCACTTCAAAAGCCTGTGCTTTGAACTCACTGTGCTGTTCTACTTTTAACACTGTTTACCGCTAAAACTTAATTTCTAATCAATGGGGTACATTGGCAAATGGCTGCCAGCAAAATTGGATAACAGCTTTAAAAAATATGTTAAGAGATTATATTTTTATTTGAATTTTGTGTCTTTGGTGTTTGCGTTTATGATGCACAGTGTAACATTTTTATTAACATGTTAAGATATAAATTTCCAGAAGCACCATCTTATTACATGATCAAGCATTAAATACTATCTGGTAGAGAAGACAAAGCATATATATCCTTGGCAATCCTCTAGGCGACAGAAGTTCTGTGAGTTCGAGAGAGGCTCCTTGCTCCTTGCGCTCAGCTCAGTTCAATTTTATGTGCTAAACATATGAGGAATACAAAGTACTATATTTTCTAAAACACTTAGTCTTGATTGCATTACAGTGCACTAAATTGGTAGAACTTGGGAAGAGTGCCTGCAGGCATCTTCTAGAAGTAGTTTGTTGTTTTTATAAATAAATTGTACCTAGTGAATGTCCCTAATATGCGACTCTACTAATTGGCTCCAATCAGTTGCCATTTCTAACTCTTGTTTGATTTGGAAAAAGTAAATGGAGATTAGTATTTATGCTTAATATCACACACTGAGGTAGATTATCAAGGTTAAAAAAGGAGGGACAGAAGTAACTAATTCATATGTATCAGGTATTTATAAGTGAATGAATATATATTCAAATCTATTGTCTCTTTGAATCCTTAAAATAACTATAATTTGTATAAGTGAGATTCAGAGAGGTTAACTGATTCAAATTTACCTTCTCTGTGAAGCCTTCTCAGAATGTTCTGTTCATACCTACAAAACCTCCACTGTTAGTGTGGGTCAGCAGCCTGCCTACAGTTTCCCACAGTGTCTTGTGTTAACCCTATTGTTACACTTCCTACCAAGTACTGTTTATAGTTACCTCTTTGCTTGTCTGGCCCTCTGCAAGACAAACTGTTTGACAGGAGTCAAAGCGTGACTTCTTATTTCTGTTTCTAGTGTGCATTTCGTATGACTTGCCATATGAGTAAGCATGAATAAATGTTGAATGAATGCGTGCATGCATGAATGACTGCTGGTAGAACAGGGATTAAACCTGTTCTCTTTGCCTTAAATGACTTGTTCTTTTTCTTTAGCATTCCTTTGAATGAATACAAATTGCTTGCTTGCGATGTACAGCAGCTTTTCATAGCAGTTACAATTCACGCATGCAGCTCCTCAGGCACACAGTATTTCAGAGTCATTGAAGACCTCATTGTACTGCTTGGATATCTTCAAAATAGCAAAAACAAGAGGACACAAAGTAAGATTTAATTTTTATGAAGTTTGGGAGGAGTTGTATAGTAGCCAAAAATGTTATTTTAACCTAATC